GTATATTTACTTCATGACATTGTGCAAAGAGTGAATCATCTATATAAAGGGATCAAAAGGGATCATCTATATAAAGTATTTTTCAGGCAGGCATGTGGCACTTATCTGTAATCCCCCCACTGGGAGGCTGAGGCAGGGGGATTGAAAAATTGAGTCCAGCCTGGGCAACTTAATAACTTCGACCTTGTCTCAAAAAACAAAACAAAACAAAAACAACAGTAACAACAACGAAAAGAAAAAGTGGCTGGGGAGGTAGCGCCAAGGCCTGGGTTCAATTCCCAGTACCACAAAGAGAAAGAAAGCACTTGTCAAGGTGACGGTCAGCATGTTGGCAATATCTTCGTAATCTGGAAATCCCCATAGCAAGAACAGAATAAATATTTGAATTAATGAACAGTAATTATCATTGCCACTCTATAAGGTTTTTTTCTTTCTTTGCCTTGTGTCAAAGCCTTTTGATCTGTCTTTTTTTTTTTCTTCCTGTTTTTAATGTTGGGATAATAATATGAATTTTCCACAAGGTAATATGTAATTAACTGCAGATGAAGGATATAAATAATAGGTGTCCTTATCTAAAATGAATTGAGATTACTGGAGCCAGAAAAGTGTAGGAAAAAACTTCAAGGTCTATTTGGAACTTGATGTAGTTCTTAAAAGAGGTCACAACTTAAGTACTGACAGGGATAATGCTGGCTAGAGCGACCCTAAACGAGCCCAGTCCAAAGAGGGCAGTGTCGTCTCAGTTCCTGCCATCTGAGGTTGTGCAAGAATCTAGGTCTGCCTGACCTTTCAGTTGCCACAGAAAGTCTGGAAGCTTAGTTGTACCATAAACGCTCTCAATTATTCAATAGTTTAGAAAAAAAAATTTAACTACAAGTCAACCCAAACATGTGTGACAGCAAGGAAGACAGCAAGATTGAGTCCAGCCTGGGAAATTTAGTGACTTAGTGGGACCCTGTCTCAAAATAAAATATAAAAAATGGTCTCGGGATGTAGCTCAGTGGAACAGCCCTGGGTTCAACCCTCAGTACCTGCCTCCCAAAAGAAAATCCACACTTAAATTATGAAGACATTAACTGCTACTGTCTGCTATCCCAGGAAAAAGGAAAAAAGGAACTAGAAAAGCATAATCTTATCCATAATCCCCCCCCCCCGCCCCCGTGTGTGTCTGTACATGTATGCACTACTGGGAACTGAGCTCAGGCCTTCACATTGAGCTTCATCCCCAGCCCATTTATTATTTTAAGACAGGATCTTGTTAAATTGCTAAATTGCCCAGGCTGGGCTTGAACTTGTGATCCTCCTGCCTCAGGCTCTGAGTGTTAGGATCACAGGCACGTGCCACCATGCCTGGCCATACTTTTTTTCTTAGATTTATAGAAGCAGAACATATAAGTGAAGAGCTAAGATGTTCTTAGAACAATAGATCACCCATCTTTTTTTTTTTTTTTTTTTGGTACCGTGGATCGAACTTGGG